CAAGAACACCATCCCCACCGTCAAACATGGAGGTGGAAACATTATGCTTTGGGGGTGTTTTTCTGCTAAGGGGACAGGACAATTTCACCGCATCAAAGGGACGATGGACGAGGCCATGTACCATCAAATCTTGGGTGAGAACCTCCTTCCCTCAGCCAGGGCAATGAAAATGGGTCGTGGATGGGTATTCCAGCATGACAATGACCCAAAACACACGGCCAAGGCAACAAAGGAGTGGCTCCAGAAGAACCACAATAAGGTCCTGGAGTGGCCTAGCCAGTCTCCAGACCTTAATCCCATAGAAAATCTGTGGAGGGAGCTGAAGGTTCGAGTTGCCAAACGTCAGCCTCGAAACCTTAATGACTTGGAGAAGATCTACAAAGAGGAGTGGGACAAAATCCCTCCTGAGATGTGTGCAAACCTGGTGGCCAACTACAAGAAACGTCTGACCTCTGTGATTGCCAACAAGGGTTTTGCCACCAAGTACTAAGTCATGTTTTGCAGAGGGGTCAAATACTTATTTCCCTCATTAAAATGCAAATCAATTTATAACATTTTTGACATGCGTTTTTCTGGATTTTGTTGTTGTTATTCTGTCTCTCACTGTTCAAATAAACCTACCATTAAAATTATAGACTGATCATTTCTTTGTCAATGGGCAAACGTACAAAATCACCAGGGGATCAAATACTTTTTTTCCCTCACTGTATGTCCCATCTGTTTATTTTGTTTATACTAAGCGCCAAAGGTGGCGTGTGCGTAGTACTGTGTTTGTGCATACTCATTCATTGTTTTGTTTATGTGTGTGTGTTCCCGGTCCTGGTATAATGTAAATATCGTATATCACTTCATTGTTATTCCTGTGTGTACTTATGCATATGTGAGCAAGTGCAGGGAGGGGTTTTCAATCTTTAACTGCCATGGACTTTGTCAAGGAACTCGCGGCCACCTTTTCGTCTGGATCCTCCAGATCCCGAGTACATTCAGGGCCCCCTACCGCAATGATGCCCCCAAGGTCTTCACCGACCCTGACCCGATACACTCAGAATCCACCCAACCTCATCAGATCTGAGAAGCGAAGCGGGGCTTGAGTGTGGATGGTGCATGGATGGTCGACCACCACGTCCAGACGTCGTTATCGGCTGCGAAGCTGCGGGGTAACAGGCGGCAGTGCAACAGAATCGACATTTGTCCAACAATCAAATAACGTGACACGTCGCTCATGTTAAAACACGGTTTCGTTATTTCGTTCAGGTGACTGGGCGAACACGGGGAGGTGTTTGTTTTTTTTACTGGAAAATGTGCTCGAGATTTTTTTCTTCTTCAAATCTCTTTTTTTGTAATCTATCTCCACGAGCAGAGTCACAGAGTGTGCCTGTGATTATGGCAAAGTCCCATCGGACCTCGCAAGCTCAGCAGGTTTGAGGCTTGGACAGTGCTGGAATGAGTGTCCGCTGTCCGTGGTTTTGTAAAGTTGGCTGCAGCACAGAATATCCAAGTTTATTCTGTATCTCCCTCCTCCCACCACCTTCACCAACCTGCACTGACCAGCGTGGTGAAGTATGGTCACACAGCTCACGTGACCAGCACGGTGAAGTATGGTCACACAGCCCCCGTGACCAGCGTGGTGAAGTATGGTCACACAGCTCACGTGACCAGCGTGGTGAAGTATGGTCACACAGCTCACGTGACCAGCGTGGTGAAGTATGGTCACACAGCTCACGTGACCAGCGTGGTGAAGTATGGTCACACAGCTCACGTGACCAGCGTGGTGAAGTATGGTCACACAGCCCACGTGACCAGCGTGGTGAAGTATGGTCACACAGCTCACGTGACCAGCGTGGTGAAGTATGGTCACACCGCCCCCGTGACCAGCGTGGTGAAGTATGGTCACACAGCTCACGTGACCAGCGTGGTGAAGTATGGTCACACAGTTCACGTGACCAGCGTGGTGAAGTATGGTCACACAGCTCACGTGACCAGCGTGGTGAAGTATGGTCACACAGCTCACGTGACCAGCGTGGTGAAGTATGGTCACACAGCTCACGTGACCAGCGTGGTGAAGTATGGTCACACAGCTCACGTGACCAGCGTGGTGAAGTATGGTCACACAGCTCACGTGACCAGCGTGGTGAAGTATGGTCACACAGCTCACGTGACCAGCGTGGTGAAGTATGGTCACACAGCTCACGTGACCAGCGTGGTGAAGTATGGTCACACAGCTCACGTGACCAGCGTGGTGAAGTATGGTCACACAGCTCACGTGACCAGCGTGGTGAAGTATGGTCACACAGCTCACGTGACCAGCAAGCCCTCACTGAGCAGTGAAACGCCAAAGGACTGTAGTGTACATATGCACACTCACAGACAATATATTATGCCTCTATAACCGAGATTGCAAACATGTAAAGTTCTGAAAAACAATTTATTTGGAAGAATGTACAAAATATCTCACCACGGTGGCGAGATGTTAACTACCTCGCCTGGTATACCGGAGGTTTGTGGGTCCGACCTGACCCTGCTGCTGTATATTTGGAGTTTTCACGTTTTCTCCGGGTTCTCCGGGTTTTCCCTCCACATTTAGACATGCGGTTTAGAGTGTTTGGCTGTTATCAAGTCCCCACGTGATAAGCCACTTCGTTGAGCTATCATTTTGTGACCAGGTCGCTTCTGAAAATATTAGCAATGTAGCTGCGTGGGCTTTACCTGGTAAAATAAAAAAAGAATTGCTTAGTTTAGAGTTTTTTTGTTTGTTTAATGCTACGCTGAATGTATGAGAATCGGTTGTTGGGCATCTTGCTGTGTAATTGCTGGCTCGGCACGCTGGATGTGTAAACCCCGCGTGTCCTCGAGCGCTCCTCCACAAACCCCCGACTCTGACCTCGCGTCCAGAGTTCAGGATCATTCCGCAGCAGCTACCGACAGAAGGCCACCACCGGCCCAGCGCTGCCTTGCAATCAACAAAGACAAAGGTCCCCCGTGTAGCCTTAACAGACCGTCGGGGCAAGTGCTGTCAGCGAGCAGCACCTATGACGGCCCGCACGGCACACCGAGGGGGTGGTGTGGCCAGAACCCCGCCCGACCGCCTTCGTCTCCCCAGTGGCGATGTCGACACGTCGCACCAGGTGCTCATTTGAAGCCGAGTCGATCTCGGCGACGCCCAGGACCGGTTCAGATAATCGTCACTGGAATTGATGGTGGCCGTGAGCGGGAATCGAACTTGGGTGACCGGGTTCGTAGCCCAGCGCGTGAACGGCTGCACTACCGCTCCCCATAGGCACATGCAGCGCTTAAACAGCCCTGCAGCGTGACCTTGTAGCGTGACCTTGCAGCGTGACCTTGTAGCGTGACCTTGCAGCGTGACCTTGTCTAAAGTCGCGGGGAGTTGGCGGGTGCACGCATGCACAGGGCGGGGATTCGTGGCCCGATACGGTGAATGTTAAACAAACTTTAAACAAATGTTAGACGCTTCGCAGAAGATTGAGAAGACGATGCGATCTGCTTTGGTTTGTCGTGCGTTCTGCTCTGGCTCTCCCCACGCCTGTGAAAGCGAGGAAAGGCTGCCACAACCACGGCTTAATTGTGCTCATCTTTTGTACCAAATTTTTTTTGGGGTTTTCAGTTGGATACAAGAATCTTGAATGTTGCGGAGCGGAGCGGGGGTGAGCCACTATCGTGGGAATTGTGGGCGGGGAGGGGGGCTAATTCCCTCTCCAGCTCTGTCAACACACAACAGGGCCGCTCTTGAGGCCAAGTCACTTACCCTCGTTTAATACGGTAGTATTATGGCTTTTATTAATTCGCCAAAAAATATATAACTCGTGAAATTGTAACGGGGAATGATTCTTGCATATTTCATGGAGTTTGCTGGCAGAGGTGGAGGCGGGGGGGTGGTGGGAAGTCGGGGTGGGTAGAGGGCGGGGGGGGGGGTGAGAGGGGGGTGGGGGGGGTGAGAGGGGGGTGGGGGGGGGTGCACTGCCATCGTGTGACCATGGGGAGGCTGCGTGCCCTCCCGCTCCCACCACGGCGCGTGGTGATGAATCGCTGCCAGGTTTTTGATAAATCCGAGCACAGCTGACCAACTCGCTCAGCGCGGCTCCGTCGCAAGAGGGACGAATCATTTGTGGACGGCGCATCTCCGCCCTCGGTCCTGGTGGTGGGCAGGCCTTCTCGACGCGGTGGGCTTGCGAGCGAAGCGCACCCCCTCCCACGGACTTCGTTTTGCCACGCAACGGTCGGTGCTGTGCTCTCTCCCCACGTGGACAATTTCAATGAGTGAAAATAAAATCACCGTTGACTTTCCCATGATGGTACGTAATTTATGGACACCATAAGGATGATGGGCTGAGTAAACCCTCACCCCCCCTCCCCAACCAGGATTTGAATTTAAAACCTTCCAAGCTGCTGGTAAATCTGACCAGTAAAACAATAAGACGATAAAAATTAATTCCTGCCCTGTCAATATACATCACGTAGCATCTTGAGCACGGTGAAACGCACTCCAAATGCGGCCACTTAGTATCCGGTGCACAAGCAGCACGTTCTGGAAAAGAAACTCTTTGTGTGTTCCCTTCCAACGATATCTCTGGGGTGCTCGTTGTTATTGCGGATAACGTGTGGGGGGAAAAACGCCCCACGAGTGAATATAGATCAGCACCGGGCAGCTGGCATGGAGCTTGGCGCATAGCGAATGTGTTTTTTTTTTTAGACCTCACGGTAATTGAGATGCAAATGTTACCCTTGATGGCTTTCCCTGTAATTCCTGCCACTTGTTTAATTTTCTCCGTAAGTGATGCGAATGACCGTGCCCATTAAGCTGCGTTGCACAAACCAAACGGCATCCCCTACGAATAGGAAATATTTAATGCAATGGTCATTTTTTTTTTTTTAAAAGGCGCCGCAAACATCCATTGAAGAAATGGAACACGATTGGGTTCGGTGCGGCAAAAAACAATTAGCGCGCAATGCTCGGTAAAAAAAAAAAAATCGTTACATTCGGACATAGTCTATCTTTTATTTTTTTCAGCTTTTAAAATACAAATACGACAACCAGCATTCCCAACCTAACATACGCAAATGAAGCTCCATATATTAATACAAAAATATTACAATAAATACAACCAAATCATTGCGCAAATTCGCTAAGGTGCTCTAAGTCTGTACAGGTTTACACAGTATTACAAAGATGTTATATAAACATATAAGCGTATGCACGTGTAAGCGAGCACACTAACAAGATACAGTGATGAACAGACAACAGCAGGTGTAAAGGCGGTACACGTTATGTTCTAGTGGCATTCCTACTTAGCAGGCGTGTGTCTGGATTAATTGGATTTTGTTTTTGCATAGCGAAATGAAATGTTTTAGACTCGTACACAAAGCACGTCGGACCAAAGATGCACGGCCGAGACAATGCCCAGCCATGAATTCTAAGCATCACTCGGGACACAAGCAACTTCTGAGGCTGAACAAAAAACGATTCAAATCACAATCACGCGTGATCCTACAAGGGGAAACACGGAGAGAAAAGAGAAAATCAAATGTTCTCGTTCTAGATTTGTCCATGGGAGCTTATAGATTGTACAGTTTGACTATGAAGCACAGAGATGAAAATGTGGTTTGTAGCAAATGTCATCAAGAGTTTATTAATATATTAACTGCATTGATATAACAACAGTACCTTCATATTATTGGTTCTTTCGGTAAAGTCACGTAGAAGGGAAACAATAAAATAAATAAAAAATATTGTTTAATATTTTTTATTATTTAAAAAAATATTGTTTTATATTTTTATTATTTTATTGTTTCCCTTCTTCGTGACTTTATATGAATCCCTGCAGTGACGAAAGCTTTAAATACAAATGTAACAGTACCTTCATTGAAATTATTTTCAGGAGGAACCAAATCAGAATATTTTTGCCAATACACCGAATCAAATGTAATGATGACTTTACCAATTAATACAAAGTTGTGATCAATGCACTAATGGGATAATTAGAAATGTATACTGCAGACTGCTAAGAAAGCAAAAAAAAATGCAAACTTAGAGAATTATACATTTTCTATTACCTTATCCTACGCAGTTCATGAATGCCATTATGATGCAAACATAAATGAGAGCATTTAAACGCGTTCGTGAAAGTGGACTTATGCATTCGCCACAATTGGTAACAGGCAAAGCAGCGATTCCGACAATCTCCTCTGGTCGCAGGAGTGCTGCGCCGTGATATTTCCGCGATCCCGGCACCCACTGCAAGGATTGAAATGCTAATCCGATGTGCTCAGTAAGAACAAGACAATATATATGTATAATTGTGTTTACTTCGCCCAACAGGGCATTTTATTTATTTTTCAGCTGAAATAAGGATTCTCTTCCAGTAACGATGGCGTGACATCTCCAGAGGCACAGACACGTGCACGAGGCCAGTGTAAATTGCTAAGTCTATCATCGCGCGCTGTTTACGCAGTGATTTACGCACAGGAATGATCTAGTTTCTTCATCTCCATAATCTTTCATGAAACCATTCAATCTTCTCTCGACACGCCTATTATAACTTTCAACACACGTTTTGAGCACGGTAGTTTTTCACTCGACGAGATTATCATCATCATCATCATCATCCGAGGACATTTGGCTCACTTCTACATTCCCGTACACCATTACAGCCGTGTGACTAACGTCGCCTCGGATCCGGGGGGAAGTACAAAAAGCGTCGACTCCCGACGTCGGAGACGCTTGACGACCTCCGCTCGACGCCCCGGTCCGCCTCAGCAGTAGAAGATGAGCTCGGGGATCTGTCCGCCCTGCACGCCTGTGCCGTTCGTGCTGTCCGACGAGCACTGGAACTGGAAGGTGACGTTCCCGCACGTCACCTCCGTGAGGCCCTCCTGCCCGAAGTAGCTCAGTTCGCTCCCCTCCAGCACGACGCTCACCGTGTAGAACGCGTCGGGCTCGATCCGCACGGGGTGCTCGAACCAGACGGGGAAGGTGGACGACGAGCCGTCGGAGCAGAAGGCGGCCTGCCGCTGCGCCAGCAGCCCGCCGCCCTGCCGCTTGAGCTCCAGGCCGACGCCGTACTCGGCGCGCTTGCCGCTCGAGCCGTAGAGCCCGAGGCCCGACAGGAAGACGCGCTGGTCGACGGCGAACTGGATCGAGTCGCAGCGGCCCCGGTAGCGCCACTGGTTGCCGCGGTAGGCGCAGCTCTGGAAGCGGTGGCAGCGGCGCGGCGGCAGCCCCGCCCGGCCCTCCGTGGGGAAGGGCAGCGAGGGCTTGAAGCGCGCCGTGTGCCAGAGGAAGACGGCGTTCACCTCGGTGGGCGTGAGCAGCCCCGACTGGGCCACCACGTCGGCGAACTCCTCCACGCCCATCGCGGGCACCCGCAGCAGGTGCAGGGTCTCGCCCAGCGCGCGGCGCCGCCCGGCGGGCGTGGGAGCCAGGCCCCGGCGGGCGCACTCGGCCTCGGCCCAGCCGAGGGCGGCCTCGAAGACGGTGGCCTCGGCCGCGTTGAGGGTGTCGCGAGCCACGACGCTGGCCAGCGTGGCCTCGTCGAGCTCGCGGAACGCCTCGGAGCGCAGCGCCAGCTCGGCCTGCGCGTCCACCACCTCCCAGCAGTGCTGCGTCAGCTCCGGCTCGCCGAAGAGGCGGCCCTGCGACAGCAGCGTGCACGCGTTGGCGGCGCTCAGCTCCGTCTCCAGGAAGGCCACGCACGCCCGCGCGAGGTCCGGCACCAGGTACTTCTTGGCGGCGTACAGCGTGGCCAGCGCCGTGTCGGCGTCCAGCTCCATCTCGTCGCAGTAGAGGTACCTGGGGGTGGGCACGCGGGAGAGGGAAAGGGGTAAAGGTGCGGGCCCTGCTCGTCATGAAGGTTTCTTTGGGTGGTTCCATCGATTCAATATCAATGCGTGTCACCACCACCGCCCGACACGGCCAGTTAGTAAGGTTTGTGACGTAAATAAGACGTGCCAGTTAGTTATTACTTCAGCCCACCGGGTATGTTGGAGAGTAAACCCACAGCATCTACGATACGAGTGTGACGTGTGCAGCCCTGCTGCTGTAGTCTGCACGACGCTGCTCCTGGTGGTGGACAAGGGCCTCCCCGCTACAGGGAGCCCCGGATAGCTCCTCCAAGAAGCTAATACAGTCTCGCCTCCCACGTAGCCAAGACGTCTTGGGAGAGGTGGGCGAACCCACACGGATAGAAAGTGTGCAACTCGGTGCTCGGGCTTCTAAACATTTGTCTACTTCATGCGGGAGGTGGGACGGTGGCGCAGTGGTTAGCACGTTGCGCTGTCAACGTGGCGACCCGAGCGGCATATAAACCGGTCCTCAATGCCCCCCCCCACCCCCCCACCCCCGCCACTTCACGAGCCCGCGCTGCCCAGCGTCGTGACGCAAGTTCAAATATTCTAAAACTAACACGTGCCGCTACAGCACAGCATGGGGAGGCGTTGTTCCGGCAGCGCATAGACAAAAGGGGCGGCGCGCGGCTGGGCCGACGGGGAGTCCGGACGATGCCGCGGCTCTCCGTTACCGGAGCAGCACGAGGAACGCCGTCGGCTCCACGTCGGGGATGTGAACCTCGTGGCCGGTCTCGGCGAGGCCGCCGTAGAACATGGCGTAGAACACCGAGCTGCCCACCGCCAGCACGTACTGTGAAGACAAAGACAAGCGCCGCTAGCGGGGAGCGGCACCCACGAGGACCGGCGCGGCACACGAGGGGGTGGGTGGCCCGCACCACGCACGGCCGCCTTTGTCTCCCCAGTGCCGAAGTTTACGACACACCGCTACACCAGGTACTCATTTGAGGCAGAGTCGACCTAGGGGAGGCCAAGGACCGATACAGATAATCGTCACTGGGGCTGGCCATGAGCTGGAATAGAACTCGGGTCGCCGGGTTCGGAGCGCATTGTGCTAAGGATTGCACTACGGCTCCCCACGGACCGCACACGCGGCAGCACGGGCATGGTGGAAGATGAGGTCAAAGGGCAGGGGAGCTGCCACTGTGGGTGCCGTGGCTCAGACAATGGGTAAGAGAGACACCCACAAAAAACATTTTGACAAAAAAAATCGTGCAATTTTTCACTCCCGTGTTTTTTCTCTCTCTCCCTTCAACGACAAAACCTTGAAAAAAAACACACACAAGTGACCGCCCTTTATAGCTCAAAACTGAGGCAGTGGCCGGGAGTCGCATCTATTCAATGGAAGTATACGGCAATTCAACAAAATGTTTGGCGATGCTGCGTTGCCAGTGGTGCGGTGCACAAGCAGAATTAACAAAAAAAACCTAAACGCATTCGTTAACAGCGCCGTGGCTTTTAAAAGTAAAATAAATAATAGACAACGTATCGGGCAATGACCCTTTCTTCAAAGCACATCATTTATGAGCTCTGAAGAAGGGTCATTGTGCCACGTCTCGTTCTATTTACACACACATACACAGTAGTATGGTAGAATTACGATTATCCGTGGTGGTGTGGGCCCACGAACTTCACGGAGCCTCTCTGCAATCTACCCAAGAAGCACCAGCAACCATTCGCTCATCAGCAGGCCACCCCCAACGTCCACCGTGAGACGGTGCAGCTGCTAAGAGGCGGCAACAGTTCCGGCGCTTACCGAATGTGACGTGTCGTTATTCACGTCAACTCTTAGACGGTTGGACAGGCTACTTGTAAAACCTGCCCTTTGATCAAATCTCACGGGTTTCTCGTCAGATCTCAAAAGCTAAGCAGGCTGTGGAGCCTGGATAGGACTTGGACAGTTGCAGAGGCTGCTATGGGGCTACGTCGCCAGCAGAGGGGAGTGCAGCAAGCAACCATTGTTGTATTGTGCTCCGCTCCCACATCTATGCTCCCGCAGTCACCAACCCGCACTGAACAGCGAGGTGAAGTATGGTCAAATGCGCCCCAAGAGCAGCACGGCGTGAGGAAGCCCTCATCCAGCAGTGGAAGAGCAAAAGGGCTGTAACTGTACGCCTGTGCAGTGTGTGAGGCAGGATCACATTTGTCGACACATCCTCACGGACGTTGGTGCTGCTGGCGTGAATTCATCTTGCGGTGGCTCCCAGGTCCAGAAACCAAACCCGGTCCCCTCTCCTTTGCTTAGTGACAGAACATGTGTTGCATGTACAGTTGCCACCTGTCCCGTTTTTCTGAGGACGGTTTTGCTTTTTGAGATCGCTGTCATGCTGTGAATAGTAAGTCTTCCTGAAACACTTTTCAGCAACACGTGATTCTGCACTCTTCTGCGATTGTAAAAAAAAAAAAGAATTCGTCGTTCAGTGACAGGTCCGAGTGTTGTATACCTTCCGAGGTGGCAACCGCAGTCGCACGAAACACATCCCATTTCAGACATCAATCAACGCCACGGCCACCACTTTGCGGAGAAAGTCAACCAGTGGCTATCCTATGGGTAGGCTCGCCCCCGCCATAGTAATGTGGAATTCCCAGCACCGACACTCAAGGCTGTAAACCTGTAGATGTGCACCAACGCCTCAATGCTAATTGCAGCAGGGTCATCACGTCGCATGCCACGGTCGACGCGCGAGATGAATCGTTCATCGCGAAGGCCATGCTTCATTCATGGCCGTCGTCAATTTTAAGCCTTTCCCGTTCCGAAGACGTCTGCAAGTTGCAGGGTGGAGTGTCCCGCTCACCGCCGAATCTCGGAACTCGCAAGCGGTTCAGCATTAGTTTTATTTAGAGAGGGGTAGCGCCGCTGTTTTTAAAGACATTGTGCTCACCACGCAGAGAACCGTAGTGACCCTACCCCACTATGTGATAGCTGGCGCCATACTTTGCCACTCGCCCCCCTCCCGCATGGCCTTGTACTTCCGATTCCGTTCCGATGACGTAACAGTTCTTTACTGCAAGGCCCGTGGGCCACTGCCAGCCCCCTGGCGGCCTTTAGTGGGGCCCCCAACAATACACAAAAGTGAAAACACCCCCCTCATCATCATCGTCATCATCGTCGTCGTCGTCAACGTCGTCGTCATCGTCGTCGTCAACGTCGTCGTCGTCATCGTCGTCGTCAACGTCGTCGTCAACGTCGTCGTCATCGTCATCAACGTGCTGCTGTTAAACCCCCCCCCCCACCCCCCGGCTCTGAAAATGAGTGAAGAACCCTGGCGAACTCGTACGTCATCGGAACGGAATCGCAAGGGAAGAAATACCATGACGCACGCTCGCTCGCTCGCTCGCACGCACGTCACGTCACGTCACGCTCGCACGTCACGCTCGCACGCACACACGCTCGCACGCACGCTCGCACACACGTCACGTCACGTCACGCACGCTCACTCGCACGTCACCGTAACGGGGTAAAGGGTTCAAGGCGGCCGCCGTAACTGTCGTCCCAGTCCCGGCGCCCCCCGGCGCCCCCCGGCGCCCCCCGTCGCCGTGCCAGCGGCGCCCACCTTGTGTGCGGGGATGCGCTTGGTGGCTCCGGGCGGCCCCACCACAAAGTGCACGTCGGCCATCATCTCGCTGTTGAACATCACCGCGTTCCTGCAGCGACGGGGAGGGGAGAACATTGGCATACTGCAGCCCGACTTACTATGCAAACATTTGTCCAGCGCGGCTCATCTTTAATTCCACAAACACGCAGCATATGCCCAAACATGCAGCAATCATATTCTTGTTTGCTAATTAGTAAGGACGGAAACCAGAAGGGTGAAACTAATTTAAATGCGATTTTTGTGTAATATATAAAATGTGTGCCACTGTGTACGCTGAATCTACGAGTCTATTCCAGGGTGCTCATTTCTGTTCTCACTCTCAAGACAACTGAAAGCAATACAAAACGTGCTCTCGCATTGCCATACGGTTTAGGCTGACGACAATAAGCGCCAATTTTGCTTAGCCCATGTCTATTTTCAATGCATTATGATTTAAAATTTCCACAGTTGTTGGTAAAGTGGTACAGAAAGCACTGCAAGTAATGCAAATTGGTCTACTACTAAATACGTGAGCCTTACATCCAAAAAAACCCTACCTTATCGCATTACAAACACCTGTACTGTGTATTGCTTCATACGGAATACTCGGTTTCCTGTGTTGATATATATGATAGCTTGATAGGTGCATGTTTATTTGCAAATATCAACTTGACAAATGCATCCAAGTGTGATATATGTACTGAAATCTACACGGCAGATATTATCAAGTCATTAGTGTAACCCTTCATCACATTCGTATACTGACATGCACCCTCAAATGTACAGGAACCCCACTATAAAGATGACCTCTGCTCTCTATTTGTATACGCAAAATATTTTTCTAAATAATTTCAACAGTAGAATATCCCCCTCCCGCACCCTTTCATTTGAGCATATATGGCCAGACTTTGCTTTTGGGAGATAACCGACAGTTTTGCGACTTGCATCCATAACCATTTTAAAACATTATCATTATAAAATCTGAAACGTGCCTATAAAACACAATGGGCTTCGAAGCCACTCTGTCCATCCGCCCACCTCTCTCTCTCTCTCTCTGTCTCACTTCCCGACGTGAACCCAGGAACCAGCCACGATGATGCATGGCCGGCCTGTGGAGAGGGGCCCTCCCCTACTCCTGGGTTGTGACTCGGCTCAGTGAATCGTTATCGGTAAATACAGAGCCAAAGCAGGGCAATAAATGAAAGGCTACACGCAGACTGACTGCATAAATAAAGAAATGAAAGGCTACACGCAAACTGACTGCATAAATAACGAACACAACGGCAATCTAAAATACGGGCGCGTCTCTTTCTATGAGAATTCGCTAGAATGAGCTGTTTGAAATTAGACCCACTTGTTCACGTAACGAACAAATGTTCACGTAACGAGCGAGGAGACCGGTCGATCGCAATGCCTTCCGTTGGTGGGTGGGTGGGAGAGGGGATGGTGGGTGGGTGGGAGAGGGGATGGTGGGTGGATGGGAGAGGGGATGGTGGGTGGGAGAGGGGTGGGTGGGTGGGTGGGAGAGGGGATGGTGGGTGGGTGGGAGAGGGGTGGGTGCGTGGGAGAGGGGTGGGTGGGAGAGGGGTGGGGGGGTGGGTGGGAGAGGGGATTGTGGGTGGGAGAGGGGATTGTGGGTGGGTGGGAGAGGGGTGGGGGGGGTGGGTGGGAGAGGGGTAGGTGGGTGGGAGAGGGGTGGGGGGGTGGGAGAGGGGATTGTGGGTGGGTGGGAGAGGGGTGAGTGGGTGGGAGAGGGGATGGTGGGTGGGTGGGAGAGGGGTGAGTGGGTGGGAGAGGGGTGGGGGGGGTGGGTGGGAGAGGGGTGAGTGGGAGGTGGGGTGGGGGGGGTGAGTGAGTGGGAGGTGGGGTGGGGGGGTGGGTGGGAGAGGGGTGGGGGGGTGGGTGGGAGAGGGGTGGGTGGGTGGGGGGTGGGTGGGTGGGAGAGGGGTGGGTGGGTGGGGGGTGGGTGGGTGGGAGAGGGGTGGGTGGGAGAGGGGTGGGTGGGTGGGAGAGGGGTGGGTGGGTGGGAGAGGGGTGGGTGGGAGAGGGGTGGGTGGGTGGGAGAGCGGATTGTGGGTGGGTGGGAGAGGGGTGAGTGGGTGGGAGAGGGGTGGGTGGGTGGGTGGGAGAGGGGTGGGTGGGTGGGTGGGAGAGGGGTGGGTGGGTGGGTGGGAGAGGGGATGTTGGGTGGGTGGGGGCGCTAATTAATTGTAGACGATGAGGACAGGCACCTGGAAGCACTTTGGTGGTATTACTGATAATGTTATATTACTTTATTTAAACAATTATAGTTTGTATTTTTCTCATGTTAAAAAAGTGTGGCACATTTTTGGGGGGCTGAAACCTCGGCTTTGAACATGGGAGTCAATGAGAAAACGATGATTGTGTAACGAATTTTCGCTTAACGAGCTATCTTCGATTAACATTATCACCGCTCGTTCAGTGAGATGCGCCCGCATTTCACTTTTACAACCTCTGGACTTGAGCCACCCGTCACAGGTGTAAAATGTACGCGAGGACACCAAATCAGGTGCTGCGTTCTGCCGCGACTCAAAAATGACCTCACCTTCACCGCTATTCTTGGGGCCATTTGGGTAAAACTACGCGCAGCACAGGGCAATACATATTTTAAAATACGCCAGCACTCAGCTTCACTCTTATCAGATGAAATAGTTTCACTTTAGTCGAACTGCTTACTGCCCCGTTATAGATGGCCACTTTCTCCCAAATGCTGAGGGCAGACTTTGTCTAAAAATTTTTTTGTTTGTTTAATTATTAAAACAAATCTGTAAATTAAAAAAGCTGATATCTGTGCCAGTTTGCCGCCCAACAGAATGTAAAACATGCCATATGATTTTATCATGCAAAAGCGACCCCATTAATATAATATGTAAAGTAAAGTTTACTATTCACAAGTTGGCAATATCTTTTGTATTCTATAATACCACATTGCTCTTTTCAATGCGTGATTATAGCACTGATATTTGTAGGGTGGCACTGCATTGGCAGTGGTGCACATGCACACATTAAAGCATTTTAAACTCAATAAAATCGTCAATAACACTGTGGCCTTTAAAATAACAAAATTACTTAATAGGTGGCATTTCGGTTAATGGCTCTTGTGAAGAAGAAGGGCCATCGCCTGTAACGTTGCCTACGACAGACTGTATTACCATTTTTATTTTCAAGGCAGTGTTATCGACGAATACATTGAGTTGCATGTATAATTATACAGGGAACAGCTCATACTGTATTACAATCTGTGTGTGTGTGTGTGTGCATACAAGTATGCACATTATGGTAGATTTAGTGAGTTTCCATAAAAAATATGGAAGACTGTCAAAATGCTTTGAGCACATATGTACATTAAGCATACACTTCAATCATTAAAAGTCTGTATAATCGCCGCTAACATAAAGTGCAATTAATTTTAAAACAATTCCTACAATCTAATGGTGCTCTGCAATCAGCACGGAATTACGCCGACATGACATCTCACTCGCATCTTTCCGTATTTCCACCCATCAAATCGGCTTAAGGCGGTGCTTAATAAGAATTTTTCTTGACTTGTGTGCAATGTAAAAAAAATCCAAAGCAGCTTATGAATGTGGCCGACATATTTGCCGTGCCATAACAACACGCCAGCGTTCACCGATTCGTGAGCTGCGTTTCTGCGGTGGAGATGTTGACGACGCAGGCGATTATTAGGTCACCTTGTCCAATTGTGAAACTCTGGTGTGGGCAGGTGTGCGTTGCAAGGCGACGTTGGCAGATGCATGCCTGTTGGGCAATGCAATCTGTTCCAGGCTCCGGTCGTTCATCAGCACGAGTTGATACTCTGCACATGGGAGTTGCTACATCTTCTGTAATTTCAGCACTGTTGTTTTTGCCAGGTGAGCAGAGACTCAAACCAATTTCAGTCCCTGACGTTCGGAGGGCCCAACAATCTGGACCACACCGAGTCTTGAATGTGACAAAAATTGCGCGGCTCCCTTGCTTATGGCAGCCCGCAATACTCCCCGAGTTGCATTGTCTTGCCTGTGCCACAATGTGCTGTTCAGGGGAGCGCAGGTTACATCAAGTTTCGACCAAGGACAATGGTTGGAATGTTTACACAATGACCTTTCCTGAGCATTGTGTCAGGACAAAACAGGCTTGAAATTCTACTCTTAAAGCTGTCCCTCGATTGTGTCATTGTTCGACTCACAAACGGGTCTGGCGAGGGGGAGGGAGGTTTAATTGCAGCATGTGGCTAACAAATGCAAAGTGGAACATTATTGCAGTTCTACTTGCATGTGTAGGAAGAAAAAGAACGACTGTTGTACTTACGAAATTGTATTTTTCGGCGGGTGGGGTGGAATTAAAATTTGCACCGATATTAGTGGACAAAAATGCATTTGTGAGCCGCTTAAAAAACAATCGTAGGCTTAAATTCAATAACCTGCAGCAGGCATTGAGAGTGTTTTCACATCACCGACCGCTCTTTGCGTCCATCACCCGCAGTCAATGGACTGCAGGCCGAAAATGTCAAATGCAATACAAAGGTCAGCCTCCGCACAGATGATCAGAGATTAACGCACGTCAAGACGAACTGGGTGGAACGAACTTTGAACCGGATTAAACGCGCCGGTATTGCGATATCGAACCAACACACACATATATATTCTGGATGCACGTCTCTGCCACACAAATTGTTTGGCCAATCTGCCACAATTCAAAGTGAGATGTCAGCGACTCAGTAGATGCGACACTCATAGTGCATCATGTCGTGGGTATACCGTTTTCAAAAATCAGTCGAGTATAATAATGCATTAGTTGCTGTGTTTCATAAGTGTTTTATTTGAAATTGACTTGGCACCACGGACAGAAGTGGAACTTGAACTGAGAGCTATGTGACAATGAGAACCCGGGCACAATGTGCCGGAGACATCCCCCCCCGCCTCAGGTGCTCGCTGTAGCGATCTGCTGCACACGACCACGAGTGGAATACAAAGGTCCCCCGTATAGCCGTAACAGAATGTTGGGACAAGTGCTGTTAGCGAGCACCTATGAAGGCCGGCACGGCACACG